TTATACGCCAACACTGCCGGCTATTCTGTAGGGATAAACTGCGATAAAAATATATGACCCACGGAATTACCGTCGTTAAGACATGCTATCGTTTATAATAAATGTCGAATATATATATATTACTATATATAAGTATATAACAACTATATATTACAAATATGTATGAATATAATATTATATATATATATATATATATTTATTAAAGTTGTTTTCGACTTTGTTTTTAGAGTAACGTAACCATTATAATATGCCATAACGACGATGATAACTTCGCACATTATATTTTGTTACATTATCGATTCCTCCAAAATAGCTGGCAGGGCTGGGGTATAATACTTCAACGTGTTGTACTTTAAAAACGTTTTCCTTCTCTTCGGGGTATTTCGGGAGAGTAGAAAATGTGATTTGAAACATTTCGATACAGGTTTTTTCATTCGTTTTGGCGCATTTTCTGTCGTCTCGTCCACAGAGGCAATGTCTCTCTTAATGCCTTTACCGGCGATGGAGTCATTATAGTGCTGGATGAGTATGCCCGTGTTCGACAATTCTTTCTTGTCACTTTTATTTGAGTGTCTATCTTGATTCACATAATACGGCGTACCTAGATAAAATAAAAAAAAGATACCACGTAAAACAAGTGTGCTAACTGCTAATACCATTTATACTTTATAATCTGTTCAAAATGAGATCGGACCTGGGCGGCGATCAGTTTTCGTTCCACGACGGTCAGACGCCGTCCCCACTATCAGCGGCATGTCGGGCGCTGCCACGGAACAAAGCCACGCCCATGCGTACAACTCGGCCGCCGAGGTCCGATCTCATTTTGAACAGAGTATATTATATTATATCGTGTCTTAAAAAAATACTAAAGATGAACGATTTCCAACTTCATTAAGTTGTAATATAAAAATATTTTATATTATAGGTACTAGCTGATCCCGTGCACTTAGTTGCCCGTTAAAAATGCCAACTCTATATGAGACTCGATGGTTAGGTTAGGTTTATTATGGCCTACCTGCTGTGGATTGCGGACCCCACTTGATGACTACTTTATATAAATAATATATTTTTTTTTTGATTGCTGACACGCCAATGAGAGGCTATAAGTGCAACTCAGCCACCTTCATAGGAAATGTGCAACAATTCAATTTTATGCATGCTTATACCTGATCTACCCGATGAACCTTTAGTCAACCAATAAACAAAAAAATACCAATTTCTAAAAAATATATTTAAATTTCTCCTATAACCAATAGCAACCATAAATATACTAATATTTCCTTCGTAAATCTTAAAATCCCTGTTTCAGCAACTCCCCGGGTCTGACCTATCGGGTCCGATTGTGAACCTAAACCATCCAGGGCGTTACCTAAACTCATACAAAATAATTCATTCAAATCGGTCCAGCCGTTTAGGAGGAGTTCAGTGACATACAAGTTTACAATAGAATTATAAAAAGATAATAATTTTTTATATTGTATTATAAATTGTACTTTTGCAACGATTTGATTTCATGGCAGATTTTATTGAATTGTTTGTCATCTTGCACAACGTTTTGGTGATACCTAATAGTTCTGCTAACTCATTTTTGTATTTGTCCATTATTTCCAAAAATGGTTGATTTTCTGTACAGTGTATCAGCTACTTGAAGACAACTAAAATATCTACTCATTAATACGAGTATTATGTAACATAAACAATTTAGTATATCATCAAAAATTATGATAAGGAAATTATGTCATTGGGTGGGTATTTTTGGCAGTGCCCCAAATGACATATTTATGAAAATATATATTATGGTTAAAAATGTATATTTTGCACTAGAATTTTGTCTTTTAATGACGTCATTCCCAAGAACACTGTATTGTTAACATAATTCAGGAATTCAATTTCAATGAAAAGAAACTGGGTGGTGCTGGAGAAAAATGGTTCACTGCACTTCACTTATTATACATGCACTCACTTCACCATTCAATAACCATTAAAGTGTTAAAAACAAAAATAACTTTCTACTGTATATATATTAGCATCTTTTACAGGTATACAAAAATAAAATATATTTATAATGAGTTATAAAATATATATTTCATACCATTTATTCTATCATAAAATTCTTATTTGTTTCCCATCAATGAATGAAGTTTAGTTTGTATTTTCACTTACCAAATCAACTGGGATGACTTTACAAGCCGGAAGAGGAAAAACGTATTCATGTATATACCATTATTATGTCGGGTTGGTTAGCATTGCCACAGTCAGCTTTTATTGATATACATCAATGACTAAATAAATTCAGCATTGTTGGAATTGCCTGATCAATGTAAAAGTGCTTTAAATGAATATAATGCACATATGAAATTGTTAGTTATCAATAGAAAAAAACTTGGTGTTCTCAAATTAAACAACGAATTCAAACTGTGAAACTGTGTATTGTTATTTGTTATAACATTTTTTTGGTTGCTCTTAGAATTATAAAGTAATATACAGTTGTTATGTTCTCAGCGATATACGAAAATAATGAGTATAATAATAGTATTATTAATTTGTATTAAAATTGTATACATCATTTTAAACCTAGGTATGTACATAACAAAAATTGAAAAACAATAAATCCTAATTGACATTTTTCACAATTATTACTGTTATTACTTATGCACCGAACAAACAGTTGCTCACATTTTTCATACGAGGTGGTAATTAAAACTGGTCTTAGCTTTTTTTGGAGTGCAATTAATAATAAACTGATGAAATCCTTTGGAGGTAATACTCCACCCCGTTTTTGAAAATTAAAGTTTAAGTTGAGTTGTGAAGCATAGTGTTTGGATAGGCAAATAACTTTGAGCTGTCTTGGTTTTTTGACGTTAATATTACAGAGGTGAATTAGCTTTGGTTCGGTGGTAACCGGTATCGATACATCTTTTAAATGATTGTCTAAGGCATAAACTGTATAAGCTCGGGTGCGACTCAGGCACATCGTAAGTGATTGTATTAAATTATATTTTTAAAAGTTCTAAAGATTCACGAAAAATCAGTGAAGGTAAGTCACTATAATGGAACAGCCATGATTTGAGAAGATCGATTCTAGAATGGAGAACTTAAATTTTAGGTTGAAAAGTTACATTCTTGATAACAAGATCAGCTACTTGAAAAGTTAAACCAGAAATATTTGTTTCGAGTTCCACGATTAGGATGTGGAGAGTAGATTAATGGCTTTCATAATGTCGTCGTTAGAAGAAGTTTTTAAAATCTGTGACCGCGTATTGATAGTGACAATATTAGTTGTTGTGGTCATACGAATGAGGAGACAACGTAGTTAATTTGATATCAAGTACTTTACTGCTGTAGTACCGTAATGGTAAATCTAGATTCGATATAGATAAATTATTTAGTTGTTTGATATGCCTATAAATGAATTGAACCGCAATCAAATATACGTAATGTTACAATTGCATCGTTATTCCTTATGACTCCTTAAAGATAGTAAATGCTACTTACAAGCTTCGCCCAAAGCAAGGCACAGGTAATTGCCATATAAGAAATGATGAAGTTACTGGAGAAAAACAGCTGACTGGTATGTTGAAAGAGTGGTCTTTAAGACGTGGTGTTTAAAAATGATAAGACTTAACCCCTACCCCCGGAAAATGAACATTAGAGAAAGGTTTCAAAACTGTGTATATAAATGGGTCTGGAATTATCAGTATAGTGACGTAGTTTTTACATGTACAGCAAAAGAAATTCATTTCTTATTTTATTATTATAATCTAAATGGCGAAACTTATAAATAATTACTAAAGAAAATTTTCTTAAGACCAAATTGTTCTCGATCGAGTATACATATTTCTAACTATATACGACTTTTAGACAAAGATATATAATTGTTTTTAAGTTGTTTGCTGTTGAGTAAATGTTGTCTTCTATGAAATAGACTCAATAATTTAATATCTTTGTCTAGATGTCGTATATAGTTAGAAACACATATGACCTTGTTTGGCGTAATTACTCTAATGTTCACACCACGGAATAAGATGTAAATGACTAGAAACGACATTGTCGGCTAGCCGGCAGTCCTGGGTGCTGGGACAGCCACCGAAAGGTTCCTGACACCGGGCACCAAAAGTTTTCAGCAATAACCGTTGTTTTTATTTGGCGTCATATTTTGTATCTCAATACATGTTTTACATCGATGGCATTGTAAACACTCATTGCCCATTGTGACAATCTGCACTTGTCTCTGGTACTAGCATACGTGGCCACTGAAAAGCTCCTAGTTTCCTGTCATTTATATCTTAGTCCGTGGACTTACCTGATGTACACGACTACCAGTTTGATCGAAGAAAATCAATACTTTAATCTAGTTTATCCGGTATTATGAAGCTTGGAAACAAGTACAGACTGAAATGACTTAAAGATGAAACGTACAAAAACATCCATTTAAAAAAAAGATCACTGTTTATCTCACATGCCAAAGCATAGGAGCAAAATAATTACGAAGGTTGTCTTGTATTTTGATACCATGAGACTGTTAAAGGTTATAAAGTAAAACATATAATTTTGAATATTGTGTAGATCATTTACAGTTTTACAAAAAATTTAAAAATATATGAGCGGAAATATACCGTATAATGTAAAATAATAATTATAGTGTATAATATGTATAAAACTAAATGAAAATTATCTTAAGCAGTAATTTATTATGAGGATTACGCTATGGGTGATTATGGATTACAGTATTGAAGTGACCGACATAACGCAGTTATAACAATGGAACTGAACTACATAATGATCATTGATCAAATTAAATTGGAAATAAATAATTTTAATAAAATATATGTTTGAGTTATTACTCAGAAATTAATGTAAACTTATTATAATTTTTCTATTGGGTTGACATTATTCTACCTGCTCCACGACTGTTTGACGACTTTTGTATATTATTAGGTCTTCTCTTTTTCTGACTTATTGGTACTTCTGGTTTCACATTGTACTCTTTCCGTTTCACGTTAGGCTGCATCTGCTTCACGTTCTGTTCTTTCTTTTTTTCGTTCACGTCTTTGTTCTTCTTCCCTTTTTTTTGTTCCTTCTCCCTCTCAGCCTCACGCATTTGGAGCTCTTTTCCACGTTGCTCCTGTTCTTTCTCCCTATCAGCGTCAAGTAATTTTTGTTCCCTTTCTTTTGCTTCATCCCTCATATCTTTTTTTTTTCATCTCCTTTACTTTTAATTGTTCATCAACCGTTAATTGCCTATAGCTTTTCAATCCTGGAAAAGGAATTCCATCTACTCCTGAAATAATTAATCATTGAAAACACATACTTAAAAAACGAACATAACACACGTAATTTCTGTTGTAGTGTTAAAATTCTACACAAATATAGCAAAATAACAATATATATATATATATATGTATATTCAATATTCATGAATTCCCATAAACTAGTACAGAATTTGCCAATTATTCATAGATGTTTATATTGCAATCAGTTAATTATTAAGTGTCTGAAATAATTTGATACATTCAATTTAACCAAATTTATGTACAAAAAAATAATATTAACAACTAGTTGGGGTTTTACCCGGTCTGCGTCTTTGCCTACAGTCGATTAGCTATTATTAACATTCATATTTATTTGTATAGATTTATGTAATTCATTTCATAAGTTTTTCTTTTTTTATAAAACAATGAATCATTTTTATTTATACAGATTGTAATCATTGGTATGTATATGCATATTAATCCGCTAGAGCAGAGTAGCACTAGTAATAACCTTGTATCTTTACTTTCTTTGAATGGGAGATATATTTTGTGATTTTCATATGGATACTGACTTTCCCCTGATCCGGCTGAATATTTATGCTGAATTTCAAGGGAATCGGAAGAGTTTTAAAAATTACGAGTGCGGAAAAAGCGGCATTCATTTTTATTTATATAGATACATTTCAGTGCTCTACACACATATCTTATCATTCTAGATTAGTTTTAACTAAGTTTTAACCATTGAAAAATGAACCCAGTCCAAACACATTAGGTATATTGTACATAGCATTATATAGATTATAATATTTATTAAGATAATAAGATTATTAATATTTAACAAAAGGTAAATATAAATCAAAACATTATAATAATTTATTGTTTTCGTTCCCTCTATAGACTCTACAGAAATACATATTTTTCTAATGGAAAAGAACTTAAATTAGCAGATAAATTCAGTGATGATTCGTGAGTTGCTAAATTGGCTTTTTCAAGTGATATTGTTAGACGGTTAAACGAGTTGAATATTGAGATGCAAGAGAAGAATAGGACTATGGTTGACATTGGTGAAAAAATATCTTCATTCAAACAAAAGCTCGCACTTTGGAGGAAAAACTGTCTCGAGGAAAAAATGACACATTTCTTTTTCAAAGTGAATTTCTCGAAGATTCAACAAAAACTAAATTATAGAACTAAAAATAACTGCTTCAAGAGCTCTTTGACAATTAATTACAGTTAGAAATCGATCAATGCATACTAGAAAATATAGATCTAAGTAAATACAGTTGGATGAGAAATCTATTTGAAATGTCTGTTGACGAAGTAGGTGAAGATATTTGTGGATTCGAAGAAGAACTGCTTGATTTTCAAGCTAATCAAGTTTCTCAATATAGCTTAACTCAATTTTTGGCACAACTAATAAATAAACCTATTTTACAAAAGAATCTGAAAATTCATTCCCTACTACAATCTCTAACCACATAATTACTTAGAGCCAGGTTTTATGCAATTTAAAATTAACAAAAGGTAAGTATAAATTAAAAAAATTATGACAGTTTGTGGTTTTGTTCTCTCTGTATGTACCTACAGATGGATATACTATGATGGTTAATTTGTTTTAAATATAATCTATTAGCCAATAGGCACTAAGTAATATTAATAATTTAATAAGTGATAGTAGAAAATACATTCTAGGTATTGTACTATGCACAAAATACTTTATAAAACGAGGGTTAATTATACTAGCTGATCCCGTTTACTTTGTTGCCAACTCTATATGAGACTCGATAGTGATAATGCAAGCAGTTTATTATGCCTACCTGCTGTGTATTATTGAAAAAAATATTTTTATATTTATTTTGATTGCTGATACGCCGATGAGCGGCTATAAGCGCAACTCACCCACCTTGGTAGGCAATGTGCGAAAATTTAATTGTATGCATGATTATACCTGCTCTGCACGATGAACCACTGCAGGCAACCAATAAACAAAAAAAAATAACCATTTCTACTAAATATATTTATATTTATCCTATAACTATTGCAACCGTATATAAACAAATATTTTCTTCGTAAATCTTAAAATCTCTGTTTGAGCAACTCCCCTGGTCGGACCTATCAGGTCACATTGTGAATCTAAACCATCCAGGATTCTGTCTTGTTAGATTAGTAAAATAAAATAAAATAAACTAAAATTGCTTTTTCAATTCTAAATAACATTCCGGAACTCAAATTAATTCATCTCCATAATATACTGTTTGAGGATGGGTTTAATATACAATATTATATTCTAATTTATATTTACTTAAGGTTTTGTTTCCTCCATAAACTATTGCATATTTGAAATTTACATAATATGTTTTTCCATTTTCAGTAAAGAGCGAGAATGAACTGAAATTAAATTGTATCAAATAACATGCAATATAACAAAGATTTATAACTTACTAGGTTAATGCCGTAAAAATTATCACCGATAGAAGGGACGTGTAAAATGGATTTATAGTGTAGAGCTTCATGTTCACCGGTTTAAAAATTCTCTGCAGTCTTACCGTTTAATGTTCGGCAACACAATTTGTTTCACTATGCACTGATGATTGACAATAACTGCTTTTTTATAATCATATGTATGACATGTCTTATGAATTCTAAATATAGTGTTAATATATTGTTCCTATCCAATTTGAATATGCATGGATAGTTTAAATATTTAAAAATACCGAAAGTTTGTACCTGCACCAGACCTTATGTGTTTGGTTAATTCTATATGCAGTTCTAAAATCGAACACAATACGCTAACGAATTATATATGGTCGTTTTAATAATAAAGTAATTATACTGCTCATCTTGTGATGCAATATGTTAATATGTTAATGAACATTTCTCATGTAGTATTATATTAAAATTGTAGAGCTTTTTTTGTGCAATTTGATTTTTCTATATATTGCAAACCAATATATATCTAATTTACAGGTACACATTTCAGTTAAATGTATAGGGATGCTAAAATAATTTGTTTAACAATATCATAAAGGTTATTGATGACGTACAGCATATTACTATGCTCATTTTTTTTTTTACATAATATATTCTACATAATGTTTTTAATATTATACACATAATTTGTATACCTATATAATTTATTTATTGTAAAATTTATATTTTTATTATTTTTTGTACAGAATATACATTCCAAATTCAATATAATTATTAAACTGTCTAGCTCAGCGGTCGCCAACCTTTTAGACCTAGCGGACCACTAAGTCCATACTCCAAATTCTACGGACCACGTATAGCTTAAAATAGTTTTTTACATAAATACCGTTCCACTACTGATAAATTGTACACCAAATTAATATAAAAAAATACACATGTAAAATAGTAAAAAAGGTTTTATTTTTATTTATGATGAAAGTTTTAAGTTTTAATTAAATTTTAATGTGATATTTATTCCTGTTTGTTTTGAAGAATTTCGTGCAATTTTGGCTCCAATGTAGTCACTGCAAGTCGTAGAGCTTTACTTATTTCTAGCTGAGACCGGTACCGTGTCTTAATAACTGTGACCGAAGAAAATGTTTTTTCACATAAATACGTAGTTGAAAATTGAATTAAGATTTTCATTGCTTTTTCACTCAACAAAGGGTATTCATTTTTAACGTACAACCAAAAATGGCTTTTTGATAATTCCAGGAACTTAGTTTTGAGTGAGGAGTCGGATGATAAATCGATGAGGCTTTCTTTTTCGCTCATATTTAACTTATTATTTTCATTGTTTGCTGCAAATGGATCTATTATCCACATATTACCATGTCTAGGATCTTCTTTTTTTGGGAAATAACGACAAAAAGATTCTGTAAGTGATTCTAAATGCTGTTGAACAATAGCTACCACTCGCTGGTTAACGTCCTTTTCTTTCATATATTCATCAAAATGTTGAAACATTTGTAGATCCTCTTCAGCCAACCGTGTTTGCCAAAGTAATATTTTTTTTTGAAAAGCATCCATTTTGTCTCGTACTGTGAACACGTCCTTAAGTTGTCCTTGAATGGATATGTTTAATTCATTTAACAGCGAAAAAATATCTGCCAGATATGCAAGCTTGGCTACCCACTCATCATTGAATAAAAGTTCTTGAAATTTCACATTATTTTGCTGTTGGAAAAATAATTTAACTTCTTCACGTAGAGTAAACAGTCGGGTTAAAATCTTCCCTCTCGACAGCCATCTTACCTCTGCACGAAGAAGAAGGTGTGTATATTGGGAACACATTTCTTCACAAAGTGACTCAAATAACCTTGAATTAAGTGCTTTGTGTCGAATATGATTTACAATTTTGATAACATCGGATAATACTTCGTATAGTTCTGGGGAAATTTTTTTTGACGCAAGTTGCTCATGATGCAAAATGCAGTGGGTAGACAAAATATCTGGGTGACCGACATTTTTCACCTTTGCGACAATGCCTGAAAGATGTCCAACCATGTTTGCAGCACCATCTGTACATATCCCAATACACTTTTTCCACTCAATTCCGTGTTTCTGAAAATAACTATCAAGTGCTTCGAAAATCTCAGAGCTAGTTGTTCTACCTGGCAAGTTGAGCGAACAAAGAAGTTCTTCCTGTAGCCCTCCTCCATACTCAACTCTCACAAAACAAAGGAGAAGTGCTTTATTACTTACGTCCGTCGATTCGTCAAGTTGAATTGAATAAAATGGTGAATTTTTCATCATTGTTATAACTTGATTTTCAATATCATCAGCCATTTCTTCAATTCTGCGTTTGATAGTGTTAGCAGACATAGGAATCTCTTTGAGTTTCTTGACAGCCTGCTTTCCCAATACTACTTCACCGGCTTGTAACATGCAAGGCTTAATTAGGTCTTCTCCAATCGTATACGGTTTTTTATTTTTTGCGATCTGAAGTGCTACCAAATAAGAAGCCTTTAACAAGGATTTATCTTCGATTGTCATTTTTTTCATAGTAATTACTTGCTTTCGCATGTCATTACGCATTCTTTCAAAATATTCAATTGGTTTATTTGCTAAATTCTTATGTTTTGATTGGAAGTGTCTTTCAAGTTTCGAAGGTTTCATAGCATCATTGGATAATATGTCAGAACACACAACACAAAGTGGCAGTGGATGTAGATCACTATTAGGTTCTTGAATAAATCCAAATTTCAAGTAGTCTGAATTATATTTTCTTACTATTTTAATTTTTTTTTTCTCTCCTCCATCGGTTTGAATGTTTTTTCTAATGACACCTGACGAAGATTGTGGGGGCTCTAAAGTTCTTTCATAGTTATTACTATTGTTGCAATTATCTTTTTTATTTATAAAGAAATTATAAATATAACTTTGTTTTTTTTCACTCATTATACAATTTATGTAAATAATAAAACAAAATACAATTTAAAAAAAAACCACACGCACGTTGAATACAATACAATATTACGACAANCAGCGGTCGCCAACCTTTTAGACCTAGCGGACCACTAAGTCCATACTCCAAATTCTACGGACCACGTATAGCTTAAAATAGTTTTTTACATAAATACCGTTCCACTACTGATAAATTGTACACCAAATTAATATAAAAAAATACACATGTAAAATAGTAAAAAAGGTTTTATTTTTATTTATGATACAGCAACATGACACAATTATACTTTTTCATATAGTGATTATTAATATTAATATTATTTATATATATTAAATAATATTGCAAGTTAAGTTCAAATTTTTCCGCGGACCACCTAAATTTTCACCGCGGACCACCAGTGGTCCACGGACCACCGGTTGGCGACCGCTGGTCTAGCTTGTACTTAGATGATAAATTATATTATTTTGAACGAGTTTGTGCATCTTGAGTGTTAATTTGAACCACTTAATACTTAAACATATTAAATATTTTTGTTTAGAAAATGGTCAGAAATTGAATTTTTATAGTTTTATATATTTTTTTTATATTAAAGTATAGTATATTGTGTGACAATGGCAGGAAGTGAAAAGCCACTAGAGAAGTCAATATCATGGTTATTCATTCTGAACTGTATTACCTTTTTTGTTGTCTAGATTCGTGTTATTAATAATAATACGTGATGGTAGATAATACATTCTAGTTTATAAGATATCTACTATAAATTAGGTACCAACTTTTGAACCGATAGTGTTCTATTAAATTTTAGTAGAGGGATTAAAATAATATGACAATGAGTAACAATTAACTATAATACTTTTTAGGTTATCCTACATATGTATTTAATATACTAATTACTAGTTGACCCGTCACGCCTTCGCCCGTGATAGGTTGTTTATTTTGCGTTCGGACGATATGTATAATTTTTTATTCAAATTGTATTGTTTAAAGTGATCGACAAGTAAATATAAAAACGGTTAATGAATACGAATTGAAATGTTCCCAGAAGTATTAATGATAAATATATTTGTATTAAAAATGAATACAGATACAAAAGAAACGCTAATTACTTTTTTATTGATAAATAATTGTATAAGACTTCTGAGTATATGAGGTTTTGTTTTTTCTCTGTTGAAATCAAAACCATTAATTTATTTAAGTCCCCAGTTCTAGAAAATCCCAAGTATAATTATTGTTAGTGTGAAAATCTCTCTGAACGAAGATCTACGCCATCTTACCTAACTGTTTGATCTTGAGCTTTGTTAATCGTAATCACAAAAGAAACTTTAACAGGGAATTGAATCCGTTTGAATGAAAATGGCAAGTTAGTGGGAATCGTGGAAATTTTTGGATCAAATGCAATTTCTCCTTTAGCTGGCCCAGTAAGAATTACGGCTTCTATAATATTATTTCGTAAAAATTGTATGTGTAGTCTTAAGCAGTAGGTAAAATTTTTAGTGTTGTGTTATCGTGCATATTATTGTAAACAAGGATGAACACCATTGTAATCTCCAAATACAGAACATAAAAATACATAAAATACTATGTTCGTAAAACCTTTAAAGCGAGTTCGGCGTCTGGCGGATCGTAACACGTTTGAGTGTTGTTGGTTTATTGTTATGACTTATGAACAGTCTTTATTATTATAGAGATAAATGATCGGTGTTTATTTACGATAAAGCGTGTAACTTTTTGAATAATAGATCACTCATATAAGAGTTTTTGGTATAACTTTATTCTTATTTTTTTTATTAACAACATTTTTGTTAAAACCTTCAGCAGACTGTCCGGTATAACAGTAAAAAGTTTCAGCCGAATCGTTTTTGTAGTTTTCTCGGTTAGTGCGGTCGTAGAAAATATCTTACAATTTTATATAGTAGTAAAGGTTATATAAAAAGGTTAAACAATATACACACCTTATATTATCATTAAACTATATACTCTACATATTATAAATACAATGACGGTTTCTTTACCTCATAAAAAAAAAAATTAATGATACTAATTTAGAATGGTCCGTCAGTCTTTTCGGGGTAAGCCTCAGTAATACTTTCATTCTGCTCTTTGCAGCTTATTATGTTCTCAGCCATGTCTTAAAAGGACTGCGGGATGCGTTGGGAGGCAGTCTGTTGTCAGCCGTTCTTACTGGACGTCACTCGGGATGATATTTCGGTAACGAACAAACTCCTTCACTGGCAACCGAAGCGGCTCCCAGTATGGACAACCGAAGTTTGTTTCATGGTGTCCTCCAGTTGTTGGCAGTACAAGAGAGCCGCATCAAGAGGGCACTTCATCCGGTGCAGATAGTATCTATAACAACCTTGTCCCGTAAAAGTCTGAAACATGAGGTCTTTGGGACACCTCATCCATCTTAGCAGGCCCGGAAGAATCGTACGCGTAAAGGACTTGCTGCCACGACTCTAGCTGTTTACCTAAGCAGCAAGCAGGATGTCACGCTCCGCCCTCTGGATCTCATCCTTAGATTTGACTCGGTCCGGGTCATCAAGTTTGCTTCGAAATCTTTCACTTTACAATGCAAGAAGATCAGGAGTTCAAGCTAGGAATAAGGCTACTTTAGCCGAGTACGCTTTTGGGACTTTAAGAGCGGCAATCCTCTGTGCCCGAATCATGAGGTTTCAACAAATAGCGTACATTCATGCTCTGACATGAATGCATCTCAACATTGGAGAGCTTACAGCAGCCTGCTGGTCACCACAGAAATTAGCAGGACTCTTTTGAACTGAGAATGTCCTCCAAGGTAAGGTATAAGCCGTCCTATAGTCAGTGCTCCTGCAGTCCCAGGTATCACAATTTCCTTAGAAAAGGAACTGGTTGACGCCCTACAATGAACACCGGATCCCGGTACGTTCACATCCTAGTCAGCATGATGGACTCAGTTTTGTGCCGTGCTAGTTGGAGTCCTTGGTCACCCATCCAGGCATTGATAGAGTCTAGTGTGGGGTTGATAACCCGGCCACAGCGTGTGGAGTCTGTCCGACAGGGAGTAGGGGTAGGTCGTTAACAAAAACAACCATATAGAAAGGAGATCACTATTTATCTCACATACCAAAGCATATAAATGATAAGAGCAAAATAATTACGAAGGTTGTCTTGTATTTCGATACTCTGAGACTGTTGTATTTTTTCAATTATTCGTTAAGAAATTTAGATGATACAAAAATAATCGTAAGATATAAAGTAAAACGTATAATTTTGAATATTATAATGTGTGAATTTACAGTTTTTCACCAAATATATAAGCTTAAATATACCGGTTAATGTAAAATAATAATTATAGCTTATATGTATTATACTAAATGCTAATAATTTTTTAAAAAGTAATTCATTATGAGAATCATGCTATTTGTGATTATAGATTACAGCATTGTGTTAGTAATACCTAGATGAAGAGACCGACATAACACAGTAATAACATTTTAACTGAACTACGTAATGATCAATGATTAAACTAAAATAGAAATAAATAATTTTAATAAAAGAATTGTTTGAGATACTACTTAGAAAATAATTTAATCTTATATATTATTAATAATTTTGTTGGATTAATGTTCTTCTACTCCCTCCACGACTGAGTGGTTTATTTTGGGTAGTATTAGGTCTACGCTGCTTCCGATTTATCGGCTCCGCTGGTTTCCCCTTGTACTCTTTCCGCTTCACGTTGGACTGCCTGCGTTTTACGATTTGCTCTTTCGGCATCACGTCTTTTCTGATATCTTTCTCATTCTTCTCCTCGTTGTCGTCGCTCCATATACCATAATTGTTATTCCATTTTCCTGTACTCTCCCGCTTCTTCTCCCTCTCAGCCTCACGCATTCGTTGTTCATGTTCGCGTTGCACCCGTTCCTTCTCCCTCAGAGCCTCACGAATTCGTTGTTCATTTTCGCGTTGCTCCCGTTCCTTCTCCCGTTGCTCATTTTCCTTCTCCCGTTGCACCCGTTCCTTCTCCCACTGAGCCTCACGCATTCGTTGTTCATTTTCGCGTTGCTCCCGTTCCTTCTCCCGTTGCTCATTTTCCTTCTCCCGTTGCACCCGTTCCTTTTCCCGCTGCTCCCGTTCCTTCTCTAATTCAGCCTCACGTGATATTCGTTCCCTTTCTCTTGCTTCATCCCGCTCTTTCCACTCCTTTTCTCTCTGTAAATCTCTATTTCTCTTTATCTCCTGTACTTTTAATTGTTCATCAACTGTTAATTGCCTATAGCTTTTCAAATTCGTTAGTGTCATTCCATCTATATCTGAAATAATAAATCATATGAAAAACATATGAAACAAATAGATATGTCATACGTAATTCTCGTGCGAGTTTTAAAGTCCTACATACATATAGTCATATAAAAAAAAAATATATATAAATAAATGATTTCACATATACTTATGAGATGTCTGAGATAAATTGATGAATTCAATTTAACAAATGTATGCAATAGTAGAAAAAAAATGTTGAGAATAATTATATAATTATACTGATAATTTTAAACCGTACTCTACACATATTATACTGTATGGGTCCAGATTAGTTTTAACTGAGTTTCTCAGAAAACTGTAGCATTATCTAATTAACCATTAAGAAATATTAATAATTTTATAAGTGATAGTAGATAGTACATTCTAGTTCATAAGAGGTCAACCGGTGGCTTCAAGGGGTCGAAGTCCGAATATCTAAAATATTGAATATTGTCAAAAACAAAGGGACAAGGGTCATATTATAATATCAAAAGTGATCTGGAAATAATTATTTAGCCGACTCTAACCATATATCTGGAGCTTCTCTTGAGGTAAACTATAACCAAGTTTTGAGTAAATATTGTTCCATTTGTTTTTTTCAGAGGAACTCAAATGGTAACTGACAATTATTATAGTGTACCAATGAAAGTTACAACTACTTTTAAAGTGAATAAAATAAAAACCGTGCCATGCAAATACGATTTTGTAAAATTTGATTACATATTTGTTTTAATTTTATTTAATTAATAAGAAATTATATGGTGTGTGGAATGATTATAAACGAAGAGCCCCCAAGAAGTTTGCAATTCGCCCAATACTGAATTGCCATACAATTTTTTGGTCACACTTCTGCTACAACATAAAACGCCTCTAACAGTATTATTGTACTCTATAATTTGCTTCTCTTGTCGTTCTCGGTATTTATATTTACTTGACTCTGTCATAGAACAGCATATGAATAACTCACGTTCCAGCTAAACTTTGAAATATTAGTCGAAACGTGTCGATACGCCCATGTACCTATATTAATGTGATGTCGACTGTTAGGTAGTTTTTTGGCCGTTGTGTAAAAAAACATTTTTATTTATTCTATATCATCATTTTCAAACACTTCGACTGACATCAACAGTTAAACTTTCAGGATATGCGTGACAAAAATATTATACATTTTATTAAGTCACAGAATAAAAAACTGAGTTTATTCACCTCTATAATATATTATTTTAGGACTGGCTTAATATGCAATATTATATTATAATTTATATTTACTTAAAGTTTTGTTTCCTCCATAAACAACTTCAAATTTTGAATTTATGAATGTTCGTCCATTGTCATATAACATTGAGAATGAACTGAAATTAAATTGTATCAAATAACATGCAATTTAACGACGATTTATAACTTACGAGGTTAATGCCGCAAAAATAAGCACCGAAAACAGAGACGTGTAAAGTGGATTTATAGTATAAAGCTTCATGTTCACCGGTTTAAAAATTCTCTGCAGTTTTACCGTTTAATGTTCGGCAACACAATTTGTTTCACTATGCAATGATTGTTGACAACTGCTTTTATATAATGATAAGTATGACATGTGTGATAAAATTCTAAATATAGTGTAGATTAATTAGTATTGTTCATATCCAATTTGAATATGCATAGAAGGTTTAAATATTTAAAAATACCAAAAGCTTGTACCTACGTTAGTCATTAAGTGTTTGGTAAATTCTATGAAATTTTAAAATTGAACATAATACGCTAACGAATTATAATTAGTCGTTATAATAATAAAGTAATTATACTGCTCATCTTGTAATGCAATATGTTAATGAACATTTCTCATCTAGTATTGTATTAAAATTGTAGAGCTTTTTTTGTGCAAATTGATTTTTCTATAGATTGTAAACTAACATATTATATCTAATTCACAGGTGCAAATTTCAGTTAAATGCATAGGGATGCTAAAATAATTTGTTTAACAATAGCTTAAAGGTTATTGGTCACGCTCTACATAATATGACTATTTTTTGTTGTATAAAATATTCTATATTATGTAATTAATATTAGGAACCTAATATATATGTTACGGTCAATGTGGTCCTGCCCGGGCAATGTATAGGTACCACACATATTTTTTTAATCAACTAATATTATTTTTATTATTATTACCCATTTATAGTATTGATTTTTTTTTAAAACAATCATTATTAATTTTATTCATTTATCATAATACAATAAACTATGAATTTGTTGAAATACCGTGTATAAACTTATTTTTATTACTTATCGCACTGCATATTTAAAACCAAATGTAGGAAAGCAGATAGGCTATGTAATTCCAAATGCCATGGCTCTAAATCGTTTTCAAATAAATAGGTGATAATAAAATTATAATTTATTTTAAAAATAAAATGATGATACTTGTTAATTTTTTTTTGTTGTTCCATCAAAATATTCGTAATATTATGGTATACAATTAATAATGATTGTTCAAAAAAAAATCAATATTATAAATAGTTAATGATTATAATTTATAATAATAATAAAAAATAACATTAGTTGGTTAAAAAAAAAATTCGTGGTTTACACATTGCCAGTAACATATATAGCTATATAATTTACTAATTATAAATTGTAAATTAAAAATATTTTTATTATTTTTATATATTATACATGAGTCTCTCAAAGTCAATATACTAATATAAAATTATAATTAAATAGTTAAGAATATTATTCTTAAGGAGTTTGTGCACCCTGAGTGCTTACATAAACATAGTAAAGATTTTTGTTTAGAAAATAGTGTTAAATTGAATTTATATATTTGTTTATTTTTTCAAATATTTAAATATATAAATTTAGTATATTGTGTGGCAATGGCAGGAAGTGAAAAGCCACTAGGGAAGTCAATATAATTTTAATTCATAATGAACTGTTGTTTTTGCTACTTAGATTCTTCGAAGTGTTTCATAGAACAGCATATAAGCATATCTATGGTTAATTTGTTGGTAACATTAGCAATAGGTATTAAGTAGTAGCCACTAGATGTTATTTATAATCATAATAAGAGATGGTTGATAATAAATTCTTGTTTATAAGATATCCACTACTAAGTACTAGGTACCAGCTTTTGATCAGATATTCGGAGAGTGTTCCATTAGATTTTATTAGGCAGACCAAAATAATAAAGCTACTTATCTCAAGTGACGATAGTACTTTATAGGTTATTTACTACCTATGTACAATGTACATAATATATTATATGACATTTAAACAAGGTTAAAAAATATACATATTTTGTATTACAGTTAAGAAATTAAAGTATGGCAAATTGTAAATTTTTAACACAAAATAAACGTCTAAAAAATAAAAAACCTGTTGTTCATGATGGTCGTTTCTAACCCCTTTAAAGGCCTCATATCTATAGTTTTTTTCAGAAAAACAGCTTAATCTAATTCCAATAGATCGTAGCAAAGCCTATAAAAATGTCCTTTCCAAAAAAATATTCGAACATAAGGAGCATTTAAGAGGGGATGACAGAGTCACATTTTTATTTACGTACGTCCGTTAATATTTCACCTAGTATTCCACATGATAGACAAAACGAGCTGATATAATACGTTTATGTAGGTACGTATATTTATTTGATGTGGACTGCACCTTTTCTGCCATCTAGGTAAATAAAAACATTTACTGCTAGCTGGAAAAAAAACTCTGCCTTCAATCGACATCAGAAATTTAACTTCTATGCAGGTGTGATAAATTATATTTTACATGTTTATTAAGCCACAGAATAATACCTACGTACCTAGTTCAATTGATTCACCTTAATAATAAAATATTTTCGGTTTTATGAAATAGTATACTTTAATTTATTGTTATTTTGTACTGAATGTACAGCGTTCATGTGTTTGTTAAATTATCTGTAATTGTGAGATCGAACACAATAATACACTGAAGAACAGTTATAACATTTTAGTATAATAATTAAGCAATTATAATTGTTGAGAATATTGCATATCTGCCATCTGGTGCTTAATGTGTAATAGATCCCTCTCATTAAGAATTATATTGAAATAGTTTGACAAAGCATTTCTGTTCAATTTTATTTTTCTTTATATTTTTAAATTGACGTATATATACCTAGTTCATATAGGTACGTACATTAGGTGTAAAGTTATTTTTACTACATTAATTTGTTCCACAATTTCTTAAGAAGGTATTGTTCATATTCAAGTATTCAACATAATATGACGTTAGGTTATATTTTTCCAAATTTAATACCATCCATTACAGCGACATTCTATAGATACCTAATATACAGCAGAGAGATATTCACTTACTCGCTTTTTTTAAATTGAGCCAAACCGTCCTCGTAGCCTAATCTAACCCTCAACAAGCAATCATCTCTACCTGTACCTGTCAAATGACGGTAGAACTGACTTATAATTTACAACTCAAATTCAAAAGCATAATATACATGTATAAAAATTGAATTATTTTTCTGTTACTTACTTTTAACTACCATTTGATGAAACGTAATTTATTTAATCATTTTTCTTCAGTTCACGTTACTCAAGTTATTTGGAAGGACGGTATAGTGAGCTTGGCTTGATCTGAGTCACAACTAAATTAATATTATGTACACACATAAATATTATAATAAAATCGATTTTTGTCATTGTGATAAAAAAAAAAAACACTTTCAACAATTTTGTTTGAATTCATTTTTTAAATTTTTATTTCATATAATAATTATTCAATAAAGATAACTTTACGCTAATAAGGCTTTTAGTTATGTCAATACAAAAGATACAAGGGTTCGAGAGTAAGATAATTAGTCTCTATTATTTATCATTGTTCCCACAGTTGAACAATATCGCATGTACCAAAACGTCAGCGTGTGATATTGTACTCGTAGTATAAGAAAATAACGCTATCACATTAATACATATTTTAATAATACGACAAATAGTCTATGACTTAAAATATAAATATACATGTACACACATTTATCGGTCAAGTCTACTTTGTATGATTTCCATACATTGTTACATAAATAGAATCATAAATATATAGGAACTAAAGTCTAGACAAATTTCATCACCACGGCGATTTCCTATATATAAAATGTCTACAATTTTAGTTAATTTTTACTTTGAGTTTACCGAATGACATCAAGGTATACAAAGGTATATTATATATACCTACCTATTGGTATTTTTAACGTTTTCTTTCATTTTCAACTACCATAATAATATATTAGTATAACATTCACATCAATCGCGTATTGATAAATCAAATGGTCCCAGGTTCACATTTTCATCAATGACACAAAAACTTGCGAAATTTACAACATTAGGTATACATTTTATGAACATCAACAAGAACATAAAATCGGGGCACGATCTACATAACTATAATAATACAATAAAGCGTGCAAGTAGGAAAATATGTATACAATAATATCTTAGCTTATGACAATAATTAACATAATATAGAGGAATAATAAGGGTGGTACATCACTGATTTTATTATTTAGCTTTCTAACTTATTATTCTTTTAAGTTGCATATTTTGTCTGATATACACTCTGCATTGACAATTAAATCCCTCATTTGTGTCAACAGTTTGAGTATTATTTTTTCAATAATAGGAACCATGGCAAAATAAATATAAAATAGTTAATATCATCTAGGTCCTATGACAATGTTTAAAACTATAATTCCACCATCGTAATTAAAAAGTAATGTAGTAACTCACAACACAGATCATATGTAGAAATGTAATTCATCGACTGTGTAAATATTATGAATGGATTTTGAAATATGTAAATAATAATAATATTGAAACATTATAGCCATTTTAATTCTATGCTTTATTAATCTCTACGTCGACAGAACAAAGTCTATGGAAAAAATAATTTTTCCGGTTTTAGTAGATATAATAATATCCAGAAACCTTTTTTTCTATTGTAATTATTTTACATTTAAATTATTTTTCAATTCGAAACACAAAGACGAATTTAATATCTGCCAAACAATATTGTAGACTATAATCGATATTCAGAAGTCGGAATCAATAAATGTTTATTCTCACGAATCGTCTATATCATTGTAATATTACTTGAATCAAAATTGTTCATTGTAGTTACAACATTATATTTACCAACTTAGAGAATATTGTAAAATGTAATGCAATATAAACACGTTGCATAATGACATATATAATGATATGGTTGTTGTTTATTGGATAAAATATGTAAAAAGGAAAACGAAAAGAAATGTTAAAGATAATATTTCAAAGTAATAAATTGTACGTTAAAGGTAAGTCATTTCGCCGACAATTAATTGTTTTAAATCCATGAAATGTCGAAATATTTGATTGATATGTGTTTTAATAGTACCTATATTTATTATATAAGTATTTTTTATATTGTTATGGTGGAACAAGTGGCTTCAAAAGGTTTTGGTTTTATTTTTAATAACGGGATGGGTTGAAAAAAAAAAGTAAGAACCATTTAGTAAAAAAATGTACACGTCGCATGGTGCAGTTACCCCTGTGTTGATGGACGATTTCGCTCGGTAACAATATCGTATCTATCATATCAAACAAAAGAAAAACCGTTTCGCCGCCGACCGACGCGTCGTATGTACCTATCTACCAGTTTACTATCTTTACCCTATAAGTTCCATATAAGTCCCCTATCCTAACCGAATGAAATTGTATTCTCATCGTTGATTGTATACACCTATATAATATTAATATCATACACATACATATTATGTATACATAGAAGTCATGTGCATATTTATTTTGGCACATAATCGTTTTGATTTCCCACGTGCCGGTGACATACTCTGCAGAAAAGAAAAACACCGACCGCGTTCGCAAACTCCTCATACAAATAAAATATATAATATAGAACAACGGTGAATGTGAAGACTGCGTGTGATAACATTTTGTTACGGATATGCTGCTTTTTCACTTTCAACATATGTACAATAACAGTAAAATATTGCAATATGTATCTGCGTTCGCATGTATATAATATGTGTGCGTGAGTGTGTATGTGTGTGTGAGTTTGTATGAGTGTGTTTGTGTATATGTGTATGTATGTATAGACATTGGAGCTACCCATGAAATGGTAAGTCGGGGTTTGACTCACATGAATTGTAAGTTGCTGTATATAACACATATTTCTTTTGTAACGATTACGTAAACATTTTTTTCTTAAGAAGTCGAGACTCGTATTGAAATATTCGCATGAGATTATTGTCTTTATTTGCGTATTCTGTACGGTATTTTTTTTTTTTTAAAGTTGATGAAAAACGACAACAAGTATTCAATATCCCGAAATTTAAATTTATTATTGACGGAAAAAAGCGTGAGTTTGGTTTAGTTCTGCTGCTCGTGATATTTTCAATACTGACGCCTCGTAATAAAGTGTGTGTGTGGTGTAGGGACTTGTGTGTGTGTATCATAAACAATAATAATCATTGTTGTAGTCGTCGTTGTCGTTGTCGCTCGCGTGTGATGACATATTTTATTATAATATAATATCATATACAATTATAGTAATATAATATCGGTGGACGGATGTGGAAGCAATCGGGAAGAACGTGAGTGACGTGCGTTCACAGCCACTTGTTGCGAGCGTTGTTGCTCTTCCGTTTGCCCCACATCAAGTTGTATCATACAATCGTGCCCTGCAAGTGTTCGTGCGACGAGTGCGGCGACATGACCGGCGACGGCAACGGCGGATGGTGCAGTGACGGTACGGTCACCATGCTCGTGTTGCTGGACATGCCGGGCGAGGACACCTCTTCCGGCGGAGTCACTTCCAGCCCAATGCTGCCGTTCAGCGCAATCTTAATGGCACTGCCGCTCATTTCGCTCGGGTGCAGCTGCGAACAGACAACGGTAGTCGGCATGAGCGTCGTCGTGCCGGAGGCGTTTGTCGCGGCCGGATCGGGTCAGTGGGTGTCGGGAAGGGGTGCAGGTGTTTGTAAGGTTGATGGAGGGCGGTGGTGGTTGATCGTTGAGTGAAGGGTTGTGGTCTGAACTTGCGCTGTGCTTGGTATATTACGGAATGGTTATAAGTGGTGGCTTTGATGGTGGTAGTGGAGAATGGAGATGAAGGTATCTAGTCATTAAAGTTGTATTATTCCGTGAATTATGGGATTTTTTTTTATTTTTTGACGCAAGACACTCTCTTTCTTAGTCAATTTTTCTTTTGTGCAATTGTAAAAATATACGAGTCTGAAGTACGTAGGTATGCATATCATATTTTTTTGTTTATGAAAAGTTCATCAGAGAGTGGAAAGCAACGAACAATAATAATAGCATTCTTCAAGAGATTTTGAGTGGAGATGGATGTATCTACCAAAAAATCGTAAAGCTTTAGCTTTTATTTTTTTCATCAAAAATTAAACCTCGTATGTTGTCAGGTATTTAACTCTTAATTTATTATAGCAGTAAAAATAGACAATTGACAAAGATTGATTTTTGTGTGAAAACATGTAAGAACTATCATGTGAAAATAATATCATTATCAATTAATGCTATACAAGTATAAATCATAAAGCGTACCGAATCGGCTGTGAAAACGAACGTAATACTTTAAATGGTTAATTCCATTCGGTTAATAATATAATATTCTACTTAATATTATTATTACAAAATAATACTGATTAACTTTGCTATAATAATTGTATATTGTTTGCATATAAATCGTACTCCCCGAATCGGGAATGATGATTTAGTTGCAGTCTACTTAATATATTTTATTATCGCAGAGTGTGTAATGAATACAAATGTACAATGATATTTATACAAAGTATACTGAATGACAATAATATTAACTATGTTGAGTGTAGACTATAGAATACAATATACGCATGCGTCGGTGGCGATGAAATCAAGAGGGCCCGCCCCGGGTCGTTGTTTGTGTGCCTCCGCGTAATGACCTTACACGCATTTGATTAAAACCACCGCAGAAACCATGTGATGGGCATTTCAAAGCGAGCTTGTGGGTGGGAAGGTTTCGGTTTGAACAGAATACATGAACCTCCCAAAGACGAAATTTAAATTTAACCCAGTGGACGGCATCAAAGTCGCACACGGTTCGATACGCAGGTGAACGATTAAATTTAATGACGAATACAATGAATACAAGGTACACGATGACGTTGAAAAAATAATCAAAACCCAGACGTAACTGCATGTGATCTACCCGCATAACGGAGCTTTAAGTGCAATCTCTCTATAGTTCTAATGTCAAGCCGTTGTGCATTTAATAATCATTATCGAGGCTAGCTGAAATAACTACAAAGTTACCTCAGACCGCCTTCGCGCAGTGACGATATTTCTCATTGATCGAGCGCTTACGCTTACTTGCATACTGGGTCTGCGTTCGTGAGCGATTGACCCGATGGGAAAGTGCGACACTCCTAACTCTTCGAGGCTGCTCTTCCGGTTACACGTCATGGAAAGTCCCTGTCTCAGCGAATTGGACCGTCTCAACAGTATGTCGTCGACTACACGTAGAGAGTTGGACCGAGCTCGGAGGGCGCTGCCCACCGTCGGGCTGTCCGGCAATGACAGGCTGTTCGCTTTGGTGGTGACTAACGGCGGTGGCCTGGTCATGAACGGGGGAAACGCCATACTCGATCCCCGTCTCGACCCGAAGCCCAGCTGCCCGATTGTCGAGTTGAAACTTATGTTGGACTTCCGACGACTGTTGTGCCTCTCGAACGTTTTCTGAGCCGAAAACGGACTAGGTCGTAGAATATATCTGGAAAAGAAATAGGACAGTCAGAATGGAACGATGTGGTTGCGTTCTTCTACAAACGAATAATATACTCTGCGCAAGTGTAAATTAATATTGGAATTTGTGAAAGAATATAACAAAACAAATATATAGTTCAAGTTTAATTATAGAAACGAGATAAAATCGAGCCATTAACAATTTGCATTTAAAGCGTGTCTTACACAATATCACCCTCCTCGAGTTTGAGGTCACAACTGGGGTTGATAATGACGTATGATAGACTGCTCCGTTTCTCGCTGACTTCTTCGTGATCAACGGCAGGTAAATTCAAACTGTCCATTCGAGATCTAACCAAGTTTACTATTTCTGCTCGCTCGATCAAGTTGTCATGGTTATCTCGGGCGTCATCGTGCATGTTAATTGAAAACTGTGTAAATACATCAATCAAAGTGGTTTTTTTATTAAAAAATAATAATGGTATAGTTGTGTTAATTGCATTATGATATGGGTAAATTACAACTGTGCGTGTATGCGATCAATCTATATATGTTGTATAAATGTACAATGGCATGAACTTTTGTCGGGTGAAATAAAATGCTCGATTATTTCTCTTGTATTTATTTTTTTGTGAAATATCTCTACGTTATTGCAGCTATATCTAGCAATGAATTTTGTTTTTACTTCTACATCATTTTATGATGAACTCAATACGAAACGTATCGAGTTTAATCAATATATATGTATATATATATATACTATAACACTTAAATTACATATTAGTAATTTTTCATTATTTTACGAAAAATAGAATAAGTCTATGCTGAAAAGCAATATGTAACCCATTGCATAGGTACTACCTGTCTAATTAAATGAATACTATTGTTAACTGTCTTACATCAATAGATAGATTTGTTTTCGTTTATTAATACTATGATACATCATACATACACAATTGTATAATAATAAAATATGTAGGTATTTAATTATATTGTACATTAATTATTGTGATGAAAATCAAAATATATAATATATTGACATTTGTTATACCATACGTAGATAAATATTACTATAGTCAATATTCATAATAATTTATAATAGTGTGTAGAAGTTGCTGCATAACAAGGGAAAATATTTAACTTGTTAACCTAGTTACTAGAAGTTCTACTAAGTTAGAAGATTTTACTTCTAAAAAAATTGAATCGTTATGTAGTTTACTTAAAAGTGACTTAATTTTAACTTTTTAAATCGTTAATGCCCAGCCATGACTCTGCAATCTGAGTTTTATTTGGAATTTTACCTGAAATGTAATTTTTTTATCGATTTTTAATTTACTAAAAACATGCATTAGACTGTAATTTATAAAGATTATTAAAATGTGACACTTATCTAACTGTCCGAATTTTTAGTACAAAATGTTTTAATTCTTACAAAATATAACGAAAGGGCTTTCATTTTTATTTTCTTGCATACTCTTTTTTCTTTAATATATTATATTTTATAATATTGAATACTGTAAAATATGTTATAAATACCTACTTACTTAACAACTTCATCATTTGGGTTTTGTATATTGTTTTTTTTTTTTAAGACATTCAATAGCTATTTAAATTCTACTTTTAAACTCGTTCAGGCCCAGGAAAAAAATTTAGAAACTATTGATGTTCTAATGCATCATATACTGATATTAAAAATCATTCAAAAATAGGGTCAATCTGAATAGCTGGTGGTGGTCAATATATTAATATAATATTTATATATATATTGCTAGTGTCTGATATTTGATGGTTTGGGATTTGGTGAGAATTTATTGAAAGATTAAAATAAATAAAGCCATTTCCTCCTTTTAAATCTTCATTTTTACCTACTTTTTTAAAACAAAATATTAAATAATCACCAATAAGCATGGTATTAGTATACGATAAATTATAATAATTAAATTGTATTAATTAATTGGCACACCTTTGAGTTAAGAGCAAAGGAAGAGAAGAAAATCTTGGGTTAATTTTAATTATATTTGAAGGCAGAAATTATGCGTGACTCATGTAACTTTCATCTACTAGAATGCCTGTGTGCCTTTTCCACTTTTACACAATTTAAACCCATATTCAAAAATAGCAGCTTTATAAATGTTAGTTAAAAAAAAGTTTCGTTTTAAATTGCACACTAGAAATTGTCTCGCTTAACCGATACACATTGACTACTAGATAATTATTTTCACGCATTGGGCAATGATAAATTGACTGTGAACTATTGACAAATATTATGTATATCAATGTTAACCTGCAGCTTATGAATAAATACAAAAATGTAGATTTTAAAAATAATTTTATAATGTATTATTATATTTAAATAATTCTATTTTATCAACTTAATATTCTATCTAAATACTAAAAATAGTTTATGAATAATGTTACAATATAATCTACTTATTGTCAGTCTAAGATGTATAACATTTTAGCACAACCAAATACATAAAGCACATTCGAGATAAGATTTCTAGTACATATAATATGAAAAATATATTGAATAATTATATTGTGCGATTGTATTTAATCTGTTATGAAGATTAACATCATATTTGTTATAATACATAATATGGCTCAAGCAATTTTCAACAATATGCATTAAAATAAGTTTATGACATGCATTATTACTTATGCTTTTTTTCATCATTCAAGATAGTGTGACTTTCATAATCAACACATAATATTCAACATTATGTGAAATATAATACTAAATAATATTACAATATTATATACTAAGAATATAAAATTGTATTACATTTTCACAAATTGTAAGACTAATGAAACATATAAATTTGTTTGAGATATTTCTTGAATTCAAATTTTTGTAGTAATTATGATTTTGTATTAAACAAGTCAAACAGGTCTAACAATCTTGTCGAATAGATCTGAATATTTATATTTATATATTTATTTAATATTATAATGCATACATACATACATATTTTTTGAAAACATTTTATGATTGAATTTCATAATATAAAAATATATATTAGATAAATCAAATTCCAGTATCATGTTTTTTCATATATTTTTATATTTTCAAAATGCTGTATTCTTAGAACTTGAGATTATGATAGAAAATTATATTTAAATTCATATTGTGACTATAAAGTTTGAGTTGTATTTTCAATTTGTTCAATTTTACGTACCTCTTTAATTGACATTTCAAGTGCTTTTTTTAAGGGTTGTTAAAACTTACATTAGTTAAGAATTGATGTGTATAAAATGTGAAGTTTTGTTTTTGAATTAATTAAACTTTTTAGTATGTCTATGTTCATTTAAAATAGATTTCCATGGAAAAGTTAGTTTATTTATATAGTTAATTCATTATATAATAATTCATTACTTTTGATGTCATCAATTTCATGTAATGGATTTCTTGTTATATTTGTTAAAACTCTGCTAATTTATAAGGTATTATTTATTACTATTTACTTAAGTACTCACTACAGAATTTTGGTTCCTGTGGCAATTAGGTAGACAGTTAGTCGGAATGGGCATGTAAGCTTCGTGATCCGAACCCTATGTTTAGGAAATAAGCCAGCGATATGAGTTTAGGACCAAGTGAGAATACAAAGCATTAGTGAAATTAATATACATAATGATTGATAGATGTTAGTTATAGATGCATACCTCAGATATTTTATCGCAGTCTGTACCACATGCATCCTGTAAGTTACAGAAGAATAAACTGGTAATTAGAAAGTTGATAGTCTCAAAGTGTACATTGGTTGGCATTCAGTGAAGAAATTAGTATAAAGATCAAACAAATTATTGAAAAATCTACTAGTATTAATTGAGTGAATTGCACTTACCGGTGGTGATTCTATGTTCGATAGGTCTTGAGTTCTGTAAATTCCTAAAGGTATCTCACAAGTAGTAGAACAAAGCTTTTGGTAAAGACGACCGTAAGTTCGTATCCACATGTCTTCTTTTGTAATTTTCATCTATTTAAACAGCATTGATGGTTATATTATTATGGTATACATGGTTTGTCTGTCCAACATTAGTAGACATGAATAATTCTAAATTTAATGAAAATATACAACATACAAATTTATGAGCCTGATTTTTGAGCTACGTTAGTCATAAGATTCTGTATTTTACGCTTATAATATTTGTAAATCGTAATGTCGTAAATTATTATGTTTATGTAATTGTTTGTATTTTGAATTAATTATTATTAAGGCTTGAGAACACTTATAAAAATTAAATTAAGGACATTTTATAGATAATGGGTACTTACCGAGGTTAGGAAACCAGAACCAGGAGCCTGATCTACACCCAACAGTAATCTCACAAAAGTGATGACATAATCTTTTACAAATGCTTGGTATAGCAATGTATCTAACATGCTGGCACTGAATACGGAACCAGCCGCAAATGGCAGTCGGAACATGTACGATATGTGTGAGCCTCTTTCTTTTTCATGCTATATTTGGAAAAAAAACATAAATCAACACATTTTGCTATACTATTATTACAATAAATTCGAATATTATATACCTTTAAAACATTATACTTAGTTACATGCATTACTTATGGGTTTGATACTTTTGAAATAATTAAGTGTGGTATTCAGTTTTATTTTGTATTCAGAATATTGGTATCGTTTTTATTTATAAATGTGAAACGTACGACTGGAAACTATGAGTAATTGAACTCGTATGTAAGTAAATATAAATTTAAAACACTTAAGCTTGGGACTTTCGGACTTCAAATTTTAAGACAAGATCATTATATTAGACATCCTTCCTATATTTAAAAAATGTTTATTAAGTTAATAATTTTCGTAATCAACTTTAAATTTAAAAAAAAAGCGTCGTTTAAAGGCTTTAAATTTAATTTAATTGACAGAGTTTAGTTCAGAATAATATGATTTAAAAAAATGAAATGTCTTACAATTGCTATCAAATGTTATTTTAATATTTTAAACCGATTTTATGATTCCAATAATTTTGTATTAGGTATAGTAATCTTAAACATAAAATAAAATGTTTTTACCCTTTACAGAGTGTTGTGTATGAAAATATTTAGACAAGCAAAAATGTTTACGTGCTTAGCGCATGTAGTCACATAATAAATATTATTAAAATAATTATGTTATAATCAGTCATAAATTAATTCGGGTGAGTAGTATTTCTCACATAATTAACATAATATGTAAATTTTGTTATTGTATGAACGCTGACAATGTTCAATTGATAACGATTAACACTTTAAATAATTATTACTTATGTTTATTATAAAATGTATAATATATATATTAAAAATATTTACATATCATAATGTAACAGATATCTATACAATAGATCTAGATACAAAAAATATGCCACGAGTCAGTGGCCTCATTTTTAGAATTTGAAAGTTTGCAATGTATATCAACATAGATATCAACAGTATATTTGCATCTATTATGCTATTCATTTTATATTTAAAATGAGTAGTGTCAACTTGTAAGAAAGTGATCTGTACTTGATTATTTTTAATTTAATCTATAATATGAGAAATAAGGGCACTGGCTTCAAGAAAATCGTACTTACTTTTTCCATTTTTGATAAGTGCAGCGCATAGGTGTCTTGTGCTCTGAACTGCATAAATCTCATATTGGATGACTGAGATAACTCAGTTATACTACGGATGTTGGGAAAGAACCTATATATTTTTGAAAATCATGAAATCACATGTATGATAAATATATTTAGGTACATATACTATCATAGGTGTGGCAACTTTATGCATTCAATAAAAACAAAGTTTTTATAGTCAATTTCTAAATTGGATTTGTATAATGTACATATTATATTATTGAACGATCAAAAACAATTTGATGTAACTGAAACAAGTTTCTATAGTATACCTAAGAAATTACTTTGAAATATTAATGTTTTCCGAACGGAAAATACTTACTTAAACATTGTTTGGACTGCTACAATGGTATTACAGTCTGCTAATGTTTCCTCTTCAGCTGAATTTGATAGTTCTTTATTTACAACTACTACGTTTTCTGCTAATAATATTCCAGCCCTCAAGAGATCATCCAAACTGAAAATTATATTATTGTAACTATAAATAACTCGTATAAATATGCTGTAGAATAACACGGTAAGTTTTATGTAAACAGTACAAGTAAATATAATTAAATTATAGACTTTTCCCATGTATTCATCAATCTGGAACATTAATTCTCGTATTGTCAGAAAATGTCTGACATATTATGATAATTGTTATTTAAAACGTATGATTACGTTTGACAACACATTATATTCCATATATTTTTCTGAACTTTTCAATTCATTTTGCCATTTTCATTTAATTACACAAAATATTACACGTAGCTTCACTAAATTAAGTTAGGTTAAGTTATACAATGCTGCATGTTGCTTCACATTAAATCAAATTAAGATAATACATGATTGATGGATTTTTCGTTTACTTATTTTCACGGATAGGTAATAACTAATAAGTAATAACTTGAGTGAATATATAATGATAATATTATTTCAATCATGATATTGCGGTTCGTTATTGGGTGCTGTAATAACGTTGAAATAATAGGTGTTTTCGATTAATATGAGAATAATACAAGTTAACATGTTATGGGGCTATATTCTATAAAATATCTATCAAATGCGCGAATCCGAAAGCTCAATGCTTTCTAGTGTTTCTCGTATGTAATACTGATCACCAAATGTTAGTGCTTGATACCCGAAAGATTCTTCATTATTGCTTCATGATCGTCAAAACTTTAGAACAGTAGTTTCTTAACTAAAAATTATGACATAATGTCATTGTACAAGTGGACTACCTATATTATATTTGAATAGTTTATAATATTTAAATGTTGTGATGCATATTTATTTGATTCAATTAAATTTTCTTTTTGTGAAAAATTATTGCCTAGCCTTGTCTTCAAATTAAGTTGTATCCATAACGTATCTGTTAGAAGTCATTTATCAATGTTCGTCAATGTAATACCTATATTATATGCTTGAATAAAACTATTATAGGATTTATTTTTATCGAATCATATTTTTTATGAAATTCAGCTGCCTATAGCATTCATACAAGTTGTAAGATACTTTTTTTTTATCCATTTATAATAAATCCATTCACCTAATATACTACAGCAAATATGAAATAGGTACCTATAATAGTAAGTTTGTTTATCAATAATTCATCAAACTGTCAGATTATTCGCGTATTGAATATCCTGTCAGTATCAGACACGACAAACATAATATATATTATAATAATACGTTTTGTCGAAATCATTTTTTTCTAGAGCTAAACAATGTATATATACTATTATACTATTTTACTATACAATATGATCATAATATATATGACGCCATGTGTGTTTCTCATATTTGTATATATATATTTATTACTTATATATTTTATTTATTTTCACACAGTGTATAATACTAGTTTATCTGATTTATGACACCATTTACAGTATAAGCAAAGAGGTCATGTACATTAATACACTACACATCAGGAATGTCAAATGCGCGGCACTCGACTCTTTATTTTTGCGGCCCTCAGCACCAGGATTATTGGACAATTAAATGAAAATAAAAAGGAAAACAAATACAATTTTCATTGTGTCGCAACTGTGTCAGAGAAAGATAAATTTGGTATACATATAACTATGTACGTTTCCAGCAATCATTTGTTGCAAATGTTTTTTTTTTTTAAAGGGTGTTTTTATACGGCCCGCGTAGTATTCTATTCAATATGTTTATCATACGTACGTTTGATTTGCCTACTGTTGTTCATTAAATCTTAAAATATTTATAAACAGTCTAGGCATTTTCTTTTTTTCTTTTTATACTAATTATTGTTAAACAGTCTTACCAATCTATGGATCCCAGCATCCAATAAACAAGTGGGAAGTATGAAATGGCGTCTAAAAATGCAATATCCGGACGTCGTTCTAATAGTATGATGATCGGATTTAAGGACGTTTTCGGATGAAAGTGTGCCCTCAGTGGTATGATGAAATTGTAAATTCCATTGGACGCGTAATCGGCAGCTAAAATTATTGTTTTATTTTGCCAATTGTAGTCATTGGCATTCCGATAAGCACAGTGCTCACATACCTGTTATTATTAAAATTTGATTAAGTTTATTGATTTTAATTCGATAATTGTGCATACAATTTAAATGACTACCTAGTAAACTAATTGCTGATATACCATATAATAATACTATGCAATTTTTATATTGTTTCTTTTTATGACATTAAATAAAAAATTCCAAACCATAAATAAATAAATATATTAATTATAAGCATTATTATAGTGTATAAAAATATGTATCATACTCGGTAACTATTCAATTTTATTTTTAAACCTTACTTTACTTTATTATTGGTTAAATAATTTAATAATAATGCATTTAAGTTAAAGTAATTTAGTAACTAGAATTCAGAAGATTCGAAAACTAATTATTTTATAAAAATAAAATAAGTACACTGTTCACTGTTATATTTAATAACATATTAGTTTCAGAATATTTAGCTCACGAATTATCTTAATTTAATTAATGAAACTTGACAGCATAGTATAAAATGGTAGCTACTTAGAAAAAAAAATATTGGAGAGATTTAATAATATTATAAAGGGTTATACATTATATTTGACGATATAGTAATTTCTATCATTTTGGACCTACTAAAATAACAATTGCTGTATTTTGGGTTAGAAATGATAAGCATAAAATTTTAAAAATAATTTTTACTTTCAATAAAACTTCATAACTTTAAGGACAGCGTGATAATATAATGATCTGAGGCACAATTCTTTTATAAAAAATCTAAACTTGTACATTAAATACCGTCATAGAAAAATAATATTCATAATAATATTTACCTGGGCCAGCTGTAGACAACAAAGTGGTTTTTTTTCTTTTAATAAATAACACAATGTGGGACTGACACCTATGTACGGTGATACTGGTGGAAACCCTTTGACTATCCTATATAAGAAAATAAATTATAAAAATAGTAAAAAATTTAAAATTTAAAAAAAACGTGTGACCGAAAAATAACACGTTTTACATTTATGATGTTTTGGGTCGACTGTATAAAATTTTTTTAACAGAATTGCATCACGTTGCATAAACACTTGCCTGGTCCACTCAGCATGCCAAACAGGCTGTGTGTAAACGTCTTCCTCACCATCCGCTGTAACGCGGAATCTGAGTTTTTAACAAACATGCGAAAAAAAAACAATGTACAAACGAAATCGACATGCAAAATATTACTAAGTCAAAGGTTTTATCTGACTAAAATATAATATAGAAAGTTAAAGGGAGATATTAGTTTTTATTTTTAAATATTACTTTTGAGCTTGATAAAGGTAAAAATGTATTTATGAAAAATGTTTTTATATTTTAAATGTCAATGTCATACAAATATGTTGCGAGAACTTAAAGCTTGACTGCATTTCGTAAGCGATAGAGAAAATACTAAAAAAATAGAATAAATTCAAAAAAGTTTTGATTAACATTTCAATCAGATAAGGGAATCGGTAGCGTTGAATTATTTTTGGTGAAAATAAAATGTTAAAGTATATTACCATTATGCTTAAATACTATGTAATAATGTTGTTTCTTTCATATAATTTATTTTTTAAAATTGTTCATATCGAGAAAAAGAATAACTATTATTAAATCATGTGTGTTGTAAGTGTTTAAGTATATCATAAGCTTAATCTTATAGATACAAAATAATTACAGTCATATACTTAAGTCCTATACTAGTAAACATTATTGGAAAATATCGTTTACCTATAGATATTATATTATACCGTAGAAAACCTAATGGAATAAAATTATTTTCAAATTTTTCAGTTAGTAATAATACCTAGTGCATAATGCAAATACTTATATACACAACACATAATATTTTCCACCACACAGATTACATTCCGTAAATGTTTATTAGCGCATATTATGAAATAATGTATAAATAAATGTATTATAAAATGACCATTTTATATTGTAAACTAATAAAAATTAGTTGTAAAAATATCCTATGTCATATCATATTATTTAAAAAAACGTGGTGTGATTATAATTATTATGTAATACGTATGTATAAGATAATTGTGTTACTGTCATAGTGTCAAAGTTGATATTTTTGTCAAAAATTAAATTTAGTGGACATTATTAATAAAGACTGGCATAGCTATTAGACAATGTTGAAAATGTATGTAAAACTAATAAACATTAACTCGTCTTTATGCTTTGTATATTATGTTACAAAAATGGATAATAACTAGTTTTGTCATTATTTTAGTACATTTTCAGTACGATCCTTTAAATGTTACCTACCCTAGATTATTTTTAGTTAATTTTAAGCTAAATAATATTTACAATAACTACAAACAATATCTCTTTTCCTTTTAAATATTTTGGTAAAACTTATTTTTAATACAAAAAAATATGATAAAAAGAACTAAAAGCAGGGAAATAGTTTTATATCATATATATTTTTTCCGAACTTTAATTTATTTTATATATCACTGTATAAGTTCAATATAGGTATTCAAAGTATAAATTTACATTAAATCGAAAGCGACTATTATAAAAAAAGTAAAAATACAACAACATTATTAAAACATTGTTCAAAATTGAAGTAATATCAATAACTGTATAATGTATACTGCCAAGAAACTTTACGTAGTGACTTAAATTAATAATCCCATATATATTTGACGTAGGTTTAAATGTGTATGTACCTTGTGTATTCTTCATTTTTTTTGGCTTCAAAGTATTTTAAAATATTTGTTTTACAAGTATAATAAGGAACATAAAAATATTTTCTTCCAGATTTTTTCTACCACTATATTTTTGATACACCAGGGACACTTTATTTTGTTCAGTAAAAAAAAAAATAAAGATAAGGAAGTTTTACTATATTATTTCAATGGGTTCATCAAACTTTATACCTACCTTACCCAAGAATTTATTAAACATATTTACTGAGATAATGTTTTCATTTTCTACTAAATTATAAACTTCTATACTAAACTACTTTTGAAATTGTATGTTTGATTGTGTGAATCAGCTTGTTATATTACATTAGTTTTTTTGAACCAATCAAAACTACAAATAAAAAATATTTAACTGCAACATATTGGTTCAATATACGAGTATAATAATTATATGTTATAGTAACTGTGAATTTTAATTTCAGGACTTTGATCAATATCCGGCCAGTTATATTATTCAAATCAGTAATCACCCTGAAGCAAGGATACAGCGCATACTAACAACCACACAAAATCAAAATGCTTGAAAATTATAAAATATATCATACATTTGTAACTTATTTTATTTTGTATATCCTTACGCAATTTTTTCACTTGGCGATCTCCACGGAACCTCATCTTCAAGCTCGTCTTCGCTTTCGTCTCCATCTTCTTCTGGAGGAGGTACAGATATGTTTAATGACGAACCTGTTATATTTTCAGCCACAGGTAATATACTTGGACGGCGACTACCTAAACACAGAGTAGTTTGATTTTTTTTCTCTATAAATTAAGTTAATCGGCATCACCTCTTCTTTGACCTAGCACTTCAGGGCTCAATAAATTCGGGTTCATATCCATTGGCTTTGGGATATTCAAATGATTACCTACGATTGTCGGTTCTTCAGTTTGTTTGTTTTGGAACGTGTAACTTTCCCTAATAGTTTTTTGAACTTCAGTGGGCTTATCTGAAGGCCAAATATATTTTTGATTAAAATATTATATTATGATCTGTATGTAAGCTTGGTATTGGTAAAATTTAAATAATATCAACTCACCATTGTTTAACATACTATCAAGATGTTTTGAAGGCGCGGTACCATTATTTGAAACCACAAACGATGAATTTTCTTCCTTATTAACGCTAATGTAATAACATATATCAGATTTCTTCATTATATGCCTAGGCCCAGGATTTAAAAGAATTGTGTCTTCATAAAACTCTGGTAAATCGGCCGGCCGCACGCCCACTAATGATACACCAAACCTAAGATTGAATAATTGTTATAATGTCCGTTTAAATTACATCTGATGTTAAATTGTGGTGATGTACTTTCGATGTGAATGAAAACTTGCATATGTGAAACTTTTGCCTTCATATTCACCAAAAAATCTACTATCTCCTAAAAGTATGTGATAGATTTCATTTCCCGAACATCTACCATACAGCCTATGCCATTCCTCAGGCGAAGTCTGGCCTTCCCTGTACACAAATTATATAAATGTTACTTAGCAGTTAGCACGTCTTACAGTGAAACTATTATTATTAAGCCATTGGAAGCATTTTTAATATTATAAAAGTAATACTTACTGCCCTCTACTAGTATGCAGTAGAAGTGTTACTAGTGTAGATGCTCCGGGGCATGTGCAGTTATTAGCAAGAAGAGCATATTTAAGCTCATCTTCACATACAACAAACTCAGCAAATTTTACGTGTAATTTATTTTCTGGTCGAAATATTTGAACATATTGGGGAACAGTTGGAGCATAGTCCTTGACCGCCCACGAACGTAGGATTGTGTGTTCATCCTTTTAATATATATCATGAGTTACAATTGTATTTTAAATACATTAATTAATAGAAAATAATATTTACTGCAGCAGTTTTGTCAGCATAATTTCTAGCAGCCAAAACGAAGCAAGCTTTAGCGTCACTCATTCTAGCTCTTGACAGATCTCCGTCTTTTAAACAAGACCCTTGGATATAAATTACTCGTTGTGCCCAAATAGGTACTTGGAGAATCATTCTCATTGTGGTGTCCAGTTCCATTGGCGATAATAGGACCACAAAATAGTCCTGATAATAATAATATTAATGATAAAGTTTGTACAAATAACCATTGTAATAAATTGTTTAAATCACAATACAACAAGTCACTAAGTCAGTTTATTTAACAAAACTTTATTTTTTTTGAAACAAAGATTTAATAGTGTTATTTAATTTCTTGATACACCTGTAAGATCTAGTACTTGCAGGATTCAAACTTCCAAAGCCATTGCTAAAAAGTTTGATTTGAAAAATAAACACAAGTTGGATCCCAAATTTGTATATTATAATATTTAGTTTGTACGACCAATAAGGTACCTAAATACATTATTATTATTTTTTAAATTTAAACCACGTATTTTTTTTTTTAATATCAAATAAGTGAGTTTTAATTAATTTTTGGAGTCTAATCTTCATTTATAAAATTTTATCGTAGCTAGTTAATATTGTTCAATATATAAGTTAAACTAGATCAACAAAGTATAATGTATGTTTTTGTAGTAAATACATTGGATTAAACATTAATTATAGAATAAATTGGCATCGTTCACAAATGTGCCGTGTATATGCAATAATGTTAATGAATTGTATAATAATGAAATCAATATTATGCTGAAAAATTCAAAATTATCTGTAGTCAGAAAATCCTGACTGTGCTATAATTAAATCATTAAAGTTTCAAACTATAATAATGAAGTACACGTTATTCGATATGATTAATAATAAAATTATGATTTATATAACAATTTATTAACATAAATATCTACTATTTACATAAGTGTATAAAAAATCGTTACTCTACTTCAAATCAATGTCTGTTAACAAGGCGCACTTTTAAATCACATTTAAATAATTATATCAAAACCAAAGATAAAAATAAGATGGAAAAACATTTCTAATTTTGATTTTAATTGGGCTGTAATTACGCTATTTATAAGAAGAAAATTTACTGAAATGCATTATAGTTTAGAATTCTATTTTATTCTAACATTCACTGTGGCAGTAAATGTTACCTCTCATTATAGTTTAGTTGTTCAACAAATTAAATTTTCCACCTTAAAGCTTAAAACTTTAAAAATGTAGCTATTATATTATGCTACATACTACAGGTACGTATGATGTAGCTGCTTCTATGGATTTTTAATTAAAACTAGAGGCGATTAATATTATGACAATACACCAACTTGAAGTAATGGATGTGCGTAAAATTCATTTAGAAAATCCATAATTGTGTCAGCTTGAAGAGTTGTACTACAGACGACTACATGTTTTTCAGAATGTGCTCTATGAGATGAATATGAACCTCCGAGTTTCTGTCTTTCCATCCATGTGAACGCTAATTGTTCGAACTATTAGTTAAAATAATAAACACAATATATATTGATTAAAATTAAATTTATTAGAATATTAATACCGGGTTGCTTGACAATTAATGTATGAATTTAATGGTTCAATAATATTTAATCGGCCAATAATGGTCCACTAAATCTTGTTTAAGGGACTATTAGCTTACTATTGATTGTTAAATATTTAGTGATTGTTCATGCAACCCGACATAAAAGTGGAATTGACTGAATTTGTGTTTAAATTGTACTTGTGTTGGAAGAACGATGAGTGCTATGCATATCATAACAACCATATAGAGCTGGGAAGGCCAAATGTCAGGCACGAAATCGCCGTATCCGACAGTAGAAAATGTGACCACCACATAATAAGTAGCCTGGAAGAGGCTCAAATGCCGATGTCCAGCTCTTTGGAAATGCTGTATACCACATACACTATACACAACCCAACCAACATAATCATAAACGATTGTAACTTTACCCTATATTTATAATCTAGAACTCACCTAGTAAATACTAAACAAAGAAGCGTGGCTGAAAGTATCATCAACTGCTGGGACAGTGCTGATTGAGATTTTTGCATAGCACGGTGAAGATCATTCTAAAACATAATTTGCAAAATAAAAACCGAATAGCATTAATTACGGTAAATTGTATAATATTCACTGACAAACATATTTTCTAAGGATTTTTTCGCCAACCAACAGTTTAAAAACACTGGTATGAAAAGATTGATCAATGTTGGTTGGAAAATCTGTAAAATAACAAAACAGTTGCTTTATTCATATATCTGTCATTACCTATTACAAATAAATAATAAATACTAACTGTGAAAATAAAGGGTACAGTTGTGATCAACTCTAAAAGGAAGTGGAATGATAGTAGTTGTTGCATTACATTTCCCTGAAATATTAAAAAAGCCATATATATTTAACTTATACAACATATTGTGCATTTTAATAAAGTATTTTGTATTGTTTTTAATTAAAACCATTTAGACTTGTAATTAATATAAATAATATATTTTCATGTAAATGTTCAATACATTATTTTACTTAGAATACGAGGAAACCATACACCATTGAATACCGGTCCCCATTGTTTAAATAAATATTTTTTTTTAGCTATAGGTTTATGTATAAACCAGCTAAAAATATCAATTTTTAGACATTATTGTATGTTTACTAAAATAAAAGGTGAACTATAAATTATAATTGCACCTTTTTATTCGGGTAGTTATTATTCCATCGAAGTTTTTAATATTGTCTTCATAGTAACAAAAATAATCAATATCGATATGTTAAGAACCGAAAATATAGGTCAAGACTTTGTTCTATAAATACTGGTTATTTAAATAAATTACAATCATATATTATTTATTATGATAATATTATTTTTGTTGTATGTGCACACTCGTAAGTACCAAATTAATTTATTCTCTATATTTTACGCAAGTCAATGTGAAATATTAACGGCTGATACTCAATTCACACGTAAGTACCTATAGGTACCCTATTCTGCACGCACCATAGTTGAGTTACGCAAATTGCCGTTAATAGCGTAGTCTACTACGAAAGACCGTCTCGGGTCTTCAAGACCATCTGAATAATATGTATGACGCCTGGCTGGCATTCTAAATGAGTAGAATCAGGCCACTTTTCGTGGATTACCTGCCACTTACCTACTCTACCCTTCTACATTTTCCGCCTTTTTTTTTTTTTGCTTTAAACATAAAAATGCTCTCTGTTGAGAATATTTAATAGTATTTTCGTTTGGAAAATATTAAGGGATCATTGTTTGAATTTTGATAGAAACCGATTTACGAAAGAAGGCGTTTTCATACCTGCTTGTGTATAAATGTATAATATGTAATGCATAAGTTACATTATATAGTTGAAAGGATATAAAATTAATATTGTTGCTATATAATTGTAACATAATAGACAAAATAATGTTACATTATGCTTCTTTCCAATATACGTTTGGAGTTGGTAAATAATTCGAATACCAAATATGAATTAATATTCATATACATTTCTTTTTCTTTACCAAAATTGTGTACACTCACAACATAATCTTTCAGTGTGCTTAACGTGTACACTCATTTTCAAAGTCAATCTGTGTAATTTAAATTCTTTCAAAGAAATTAAACTTTTTGAAACTTTTATGTTAAAGTAATTTTCCAAGTATTTGACTTATTTTATTTATAAACTCTTATTTTTTTTAAACTTAAAACTTAAAAACAATTATTTTTTATATATTTTTTATTCGTTGACAGGTGATGTTTTGACTATTCAATGGTCATTTCTTACGACGTTACTTAACTGTTGAAACTAAAAAGTCTGATTTATGTCAACATAGCGTAGTTTTAAAGTAAGCAAGAATTCAGGTTTATAATTATTATTGTAGTTGCATTATAGCTATATATAGCAAATTGGATATTAAACAGTTAAAAATCTGTAGGAAATTCTACTTTTTTGAGGCAAAATACTGAAGAAAACATATTAATTTGTAAAATAGTTAAAATTGTAAATAGTGTAATTCTTTTAATAAAAACAATTAATTATTAAATTTTGAATTTTAAACGACTTTACATGACGTGTATATTTCCAAAAGCTTATAACACTTAAAACAATATTGTTCAAGTTGTAAAACAAAGTAGCATATACTATAGAGGTTCAACGTCAACATATACACTATAAAGTTAACAAAATATATGTAAATAATATAATAGCTCCTTCATAACGGAAGAAGAAAAACATTAATATTAATAATATTTTGTTTTAGATATACCACATACATAACTGAAATATATCATTCGAAGACATTTTAAGAATAAAATAATACAAAAGAAACACACTCACGAAAAATCTATAATTTACAATCATAAATATATATAAATTTAAATTTGTGTATATTACCTAGAGTTTCGGCTTATAACGTTCTAAATTTGATTAATTATTGCAGTACACAATTAATCAAGATCTTCTATTATCATAAAATATCAAGTTATAAAATATTTACTTGCACTCTATACAGCTACATTTTTAAACAAACCTTGGATTTCATATAAAATATTACAATTAAAAGACACATATAAAAAACTATAGAATATCGAGGAAGTAAAAATACAATATACTTTTTAATGTAGTAAATGTAATATTATATTATGGTTTGATTTTCGATAGTAAAATATACATTTTTATATTATTCCATTGAAGAAACTAGATATTGAACTACTTCTGTAGTATGTCTGATAAATTACATTAAATAATAAGTCTCATCAAATTAACAAAATATACATTTATAGAATAGAAGGAGTTTGGGGTCGTTTACTAGTTTTACATAAAGGTGGAGCCAGTTATCTGCTATTATTTTAAACTTTACAGCGATTTCAAGTTACTGCCTTTAAAAACTGATTTTAATTGGAGCTCACTTAAGTAAAATCAATTAAGTTAATTGCCCTATACAAACACGATTATAATCAGAGTTTTAAGCAGAATCGTTTCACAATACAATAATAAGTCATCTGATATTCATAATGACTATAATAGGTACCAATCTACTATTATGCGGTGAGGTCAATGAAGCAACAGCCGGTTTTTTGTAGTCGATCCCAAAGGTATATTATTATTTTTATGAACACGATTGCACGGCATAGATACATTATTGCGATGATAGACAAGACTTAAAAATTCAATTTTGGTAATTTTATAAGCTCTTTTGAAACTTTATTGAAACTTTTCTTACCAACACCACAATTTGTTGGATAAATTATTGAAAAATCACATTTAATAATTTCTATAGATTTTTCAATGATTTATTGAGATTTATTGAACACTCAATGTTGGTAAATAATGTGGAATAATGTATTAATTAATACAATGAACGGCTAATTGTAATAATAATGATATCTAATGTATAATATCTCATATCTATGACACAAATTGTTTGTGATGTTTATTGAAATTGCAAATACATTTTTTACTCAAAATAATATTTAATATACAACTATCAATGTATATTTAGCCTGAATATACTCCACAATTTAAATCAAATTCATGCCTATTTTCATAAGACCAAAATAATATGTTGATGCGTCGGTTGAAACTAATCAATTTCAATTTTCATTACATTAGATTATACTTAAGAAAATATGCATTTCCACCATCGAATATCGATCCAATTACAGTTCGATGTTATGTATATGAAGTACCTATATAAAATCGTAGTTTAACAGCATAATTGAATCTGAATAGTCGAAAAGTATCAAACAACTACATGCATTTGAAGTGGCTGTGTTGATGACTCCGGGGGTATTGATTCACCCATAATGCATCCATAAATATAAAAGCGTGTTTACTTATACGCGGAATGCCGAGAACGATACAGTGTTAGCACTGGTATTCATTTTTAATTGAAAATTTCGTTTTAGTTTTATTTTTAAGCAGTGTATGGATTCAGAGTACGTAGAGCAAGGCATTTATTGGTTTTTCTGTACAGAGTGTTGATTTTTATTTAGTATTGTTGACACATTTTTTTTTTTTTTTTGGAACTGTAGGTTTGCTAAGAAAGTTTCAAGTAGTTATTTTGCCGATATAGACTATAGTCTAGTTGTTATTCTAAGCAAATAATTGTTCGATTTTATTTTCTACTTTTGGATGTGTTGAAATTAACATAGATTTCGATAAGTCAAAAAACAGAAATGGATACATGAATATATATATATGTCAGCAAGTTAATCCTGATGCATAATAATATTATCTGTACCTACAACACGTTTTGTTTGAAACAAAATTTAGTTTATTCCATTAATCATGATACTAATATTAATTATCAGTTTAATAAATTCGGTATCAAACAAGTACCTCCAGATTAGTCATTAGATATTTTTGACATATAATAAATGATTTATTGTATTTTTCAATGAAAATGATGTTGCAGGGGTAGGAAATGGAAACAAAATCTAACACTTGTTACTTTTACAATTTTATTATACGGAACACTGATTTTTAAACTAATACAATTACCAATCCTAGTTTTTTTTTCATAAATCAATAATTCGTTAGTATGACGTGCATAAAATAAGTTGGTTATTATTAATAGTCCATTGAATTGTATTTAAAAAAAATGAATCAAATTTAATTGTAAAACAATTTAAAACTTAAATCGATTAGTTGTATAATTTCATTAACAATAAGTCAATAAATTATGTATGTTAGTATGTAATGATCGCAACGACTCGAAAGTAAACGTATAGCACTATAGCTTTATATTATTATAGTTTTAACTGTTCATTATTGTGAGACATATTATATAAATTTATACAGTTTTAGAAAATTCTGACTTATAATTTAAGAAAATCTTAAATATAAGTAAAATATTCATTAATGGTTATAACTTTTCTTTTGACAACAATTTGTTTTTAGTATAGTGATGAGTTCTGAAAAATAATTATATAGGTGGAGGTAGGTAATAGCCGATTTTTTTTTTTAATCGTTATGCGAGTATTTAATTTGTTTGTTTAATTTAAGTTTACAGTTTTTTTTAACCAAGAACGAATTAATCTTTGTGATTATAAAGAATTGCATAAAATATGCAAACAGGAAAATCAATAAATTATAATTGAGTAGTACAATATTCCAAGCAACTAAATTTAAAATATTAGGGAAATATTATAATCAAATTCAGTATTATGTTTACAGCTGTAGGAATGTAGAAATTAATTTTATAAGTTAATAGAATACTATATCTACAAATAACAACAAGTTTTATACCCTGTGATTCTTTTATCATTAAACACTCATTATCTTAAAAAGTATAAATGTTTATAAAAAGAAATTTTACATAGTTTCTTGTCGTTACGAAACAATAAAAAAATATTTTTATATTTTTCATCCTCA